TTGTTCTCGATATCCTTTTCTCAAGTTTTCGAGCTCAAAACAAGTTTTCTTCTGTTCATTCTTTAACTTGTCTGCCATATCCTTCTGAGTATCAGTATCTAATTTCCATTTTTAAACCTTTCAGTCTCAAGTTCCCTTACCCTCTGTTTCAGCTCGTTCTTTATAACTTCAAATTCTTTCATCGCTATCTCTAGCTCGGAATGAACAAGCCTAAGATGTTCTTCCATGGTCTGGGTGTCCTCATGATCAGGCACGGGGATGTTGTCATTTTTCCTTAACCTCCGCCATTCTAGATAGTCTGGAGTAAGCATGTCCTTGGCAGCCACGAAATCCATTCAGAACACTTTCTTCTATGACTCAGCTATTTCTTGGACCATTTTCTTGTAATTATCACCATGGTATGCAAATTCTGATCCAAATATTCCGTATGTTGCTGGACAAACTGGCGTGCCCCATACTGCCAAAGTACCAAAAGAGTAGAATATCCGACTCTTCCCCATAATCCAAGTAGTGTCATAGTATCTAAATCCCCATATCAGAAGAGAATGTCACTGGGGGTTAACCAATGAGCTCTCCAGGAAATATACCTATCTTGAAGGTGTATGAATACTTTCATCCATTTTTCTTTTGATGCGTCTTCTTATCATTTCAAAGCAAGAAATTCCTACAAAGGTGAATAAGTTGTGTTCGGTGATAAGTAATCCCGTTAGTCTTCTAGAAATGACTATGGATCCAAACTTGGAGAAGCTGGACACACCTTACGAATCTTCCTCCTCCAGTGTTTCTGCAGTGGTTGAGAGAACGAAAGGTTTCAGCTAAGATTGTTGGTGCTGGATTTACACATCTCGGGAGTTATTCAAATAGTTCCACCATGGCCGCATCAATGTACCTCAAAGTCCTCGGGAAGATAACCAAACCATAAAGGCCCAGCGCGAAAAGATCTATTGCCTTCCATTCATCGTGATGGTTCTTCATTAGTTGCTTAATATGGATCCAAGCAATTCCTTCCCCGCTACCTTTGGGTCGAGCCCTGTCAATTACCCATTTTTCATCTACCCCCGCAACATTTGTCAGTCCGTTCTTGAAAGGCTAACTTTTGATATGCTTGATGTAGACCCGCTCCATTCTGATTCCCTCGCAATGCAGCAATGTAGTGTACTCTTCGATTATGGCCACCATGTCCTCCAAGTTAAAGGTGAAACAGTTGTACCCCGGATTCCAGAATTGTAACAAGGCTCTAATTAGGGGCTCATCCGTCCTGACATAGAGAATGAGAGCGATATCACCATACCGCTAGCTGAACTTCTATTTTTGGTCACTCTTCCAACTATCCCAAATGCTCCGTAGCTCTTGAACATCATTCTACTTTAGGCTGATAGAAGTATAGCTAGCCAGTTCTGACACATAGCTTCCTTACAAACTGTCTCTATTTTCTTTCTGAGTCTTTTTGGACTATAGTCGTACATCGATATTTTTTACCTCTTGCATTACAACCCCTTTGTTCATTAATACAGATTATTTGTGTGTAACGAACACCTTTTTAAAGATCAATGACCTCTTTTTATGATGCAAATGATAAAAAGACAAATATGAAAGATAAATTAGTTAGTAAGATAAAAAATAAAAATGATGAAAGTAAAAATAAAAATGACAAACTAGATGAGTAAGGAAAAAAACATCCTATGCTTCAAAATGAAGTTTTGTGGTAGGCTCTAATTCTCTGTAGTCTCCCGGTTTAGGTTCTAAAGAAGGTACCCGAGTTCTCCTTGCCGGTGCCCCCTTGGGCTTGCCAGACCCTTAGTCCTAAGCCCATTACAAGCTTATGTAGACTAAGTTAAACTCAAGATGATACATTCCCTTATGTCTATGCGGAGAATAAATTCACACGAAGACATAAGGTATATGAATCCCGAAGGCTACTTGATAGGCCTATGCGGAGAATAAATTCTCACGAAGGTATCACTTTCACCCCCACTTAAAAGGGTTCAGAGCTCGAGTATAGAGCCTTAGGTGGAAAAAAAGTTTGATAAGCTGAAACCATTGAAAGAAATTGTCAGTACAACTATTTATTTGAAAAGATAATTAAAGGTAAGTAATAAGGATCGAAAAAATTAACTTAAAATTTAAACTTACACTTTTCACTTCAGAAGACAACTGGAAATTATCCTTAGCCTGACTCACTTACTTGTCCCCAGCAGAGTCGCCAAGCTGTCGCAACTGTCTTTCGGGTGGGCCCAGAATTGGGCTTCGACTTAAATAAGTGGGTTAGAGTCACCACTGATAATTTATTTTAAGGAAAAAAATGGGATGATTGGATACCTCGATTTCTTACCTGATCTGCATCCTACCAAAGATATGTCAGATTCAGGATTCAGTTACAGTCAAGGAAGGATTAGCACCCTTGACTGCCCTTTCGGTACTAATTAATTTCCAGTTGTCTTAATTAAGAAAATTGTCATTTAAATTGAAAGATAAAAGTTTCATCCAAATTACTTACCTCTGATTTATTAAAATACCCTTAAAAGTAAAAAAAATGTTAGATTGGTAAAGTAACATGTTGAATCCAAAATAAAGAATACAAGTTAAATTATGATGTTTAAAATATATATATATATACATGCTGAGGAACTAAAAAATTAGCTGACCCTATTCCCATATGTAATGGGGTAAGAGAGGTATGATAGTAGGCTGCCCCCAACGCCAGGTTGAGAGCAGCTTTCGTGGGAGACCTCCGACAGTCAGAATTATGAATTGCCCACCGTGGGACTCGATCCCACGACTAAATTAAATAAACATGACTAAATTAAAAGAAAAGTAAAGTAGGTGGTAAAATTAAAAAGCAAATCGGGGTAAAAATTCAATTTAGGGAGCAAAATAGACTTTAAAACAAACGAGGGACTACGACTGTAATTATCCCCTTTCCTAAGCAAAACACGCGGATCTTAGGGGAGTTGGATCGGATTACGGTCAACCCGCGGGTCAATTGAGTCACTATAAATACCAATTTTTAGAAACAAAAATCATTTTTCCCCTAGCCAAAATGGATCAAACTGAGACCCCAAAAATCCTCTTTTTGTTCATCGTGTTCTTCAAAACGAAGAACATGGCTGCCAAACCCAGAATTCGACCGATCACTACCTCGCAGGCCGCTGTTCATCGGCGGTGGCCAATTTTTTTTTTTTACATTTTTCGAAAGCTTTCCTTATTCTCTCTTCAAAAACCCAACTATTTTGTACAAAATCGCCTCGGGGAGGGCTAGATTTGAGAAGAAAGTTCTTGAAACTCTCCCCCATGTTCATCGGTCGTACCTCGTTTTGAGTTTTTTGGAGTCAAAAATAAAAAGAAAAAAAATCAACCGAGACACAAGCGAGTACAAAACAATCGAACAAGGTAAATACCTTTTTATTTCTTCAAAGTTTTTACAAGTCTTTTCCTTTTTTATGCTTCTTGTATTTTTCTTATGATTTTTTGGGTGATTTTATCTATGGTTTTACATGTATTTATAGTCCTAAGATTGCTATTTTTAGTTCGGCTATTGTCTCCTACTTGAACTAAAATACTTTGGTTGTTTTTGTTCTGTTTTGGTTGGACTCTGTTGTGTGTCGGAAAACTTGGAGATGTGGGTGGTGGCCGCTGGAATGAGGAATCTCCAAGAGTCCTCCCTCTACTCAACGCTTGCTGAGGGAGATGTGACGTTGAGGAAACAAGGGCGAAAGTTAGGGTTTAAAAACCCTAACTGCTTCGAGTTGGTTCGGGTTACTCCAAGATCTAGGTTTTTAAGGGTTCTGGGTTGTTGGGTCTGTTGGTATTGGGTCACCATTTGTAATGGCTTTGGGTTTGGGGCCTATCATTGCTTGTAATATTGAACCTAATAAAAAAACATATAATAAATATAAATATATGCTCCATACTATATAATAGAAACATAAATATAATATATATAACTATACAATGTAGATATATATCATAAATATGTAACATATAATTTGTATATACTATATGATATAAATCACATATTATGCAATATAAATATGTTATGAACATAATAATATCACATAAAGTGGGACGAAATGGTGTGTCTACAACTATAATTGATAAAATTAAAAGTTCAATGGTATAAACGATACAACTTCTAAAGTTCAATGGTATCTAGTGTAATTTACCCTAAATTTTATCACATAAAAATGATAAAAATATGTGTATAAATTGATTAATTTTGTATCTAATTATTTTATAATAATCAATAATTATTTTATTTAAAAATCATATAAAATTATGAAATTAAAAAACACAATTATAATAATATCTCTATCAATATTTAAAGAAAGAATATTTAGATCTTTCATAATTAAATTAGCATCAGGTTATCCTATAATACCAATTCAATTTATTTAAAATTTAAATATTAATAGAGATAGGATAAATATTAAATATAGTATATTATATTTCTATTAAAAAAATAGTTAAAAATCTTCAACATAAAAAAAAATTAAGTTCTACCGTAAACTACATGTTTAGGACTATAACTGTCATTTTTGTTCCATTTAGTCACTCATTTATTATTTTTTTCAAAATTATGCTTAATGTTACATTTTAATTTTTCTTTGGTCACCCGTCGTTAAAAAATTAACAGAACTGCGGATGTTACATTTTTAAAAAATTTCAATGATGATGTGACATTATCTTATTGTAGCACGTAGTATCACCATTAATTTTTTAATAATGAGTGGCCAAAATGAAACTAAAGCGTAACATTTTATGATTTTAAAACAAAAAATAGTTGCGTGACCAAAATAGAATAAAAGTGATATTTATACTAAAAAGTATAGTTTATCCTAAAATCTAACATAACCGTATAAAACGATAGCCGATAAGCTTTAGATATTGACGTAGCCAAGCCAAACAAATTACCAAAATATAAAGTAAATTTTTTTTTTGGATAAGTAATTTATATTCATCCAAAGAAAAGCAGTATAGCTGCTACAAGGCACAATCAACAACTAGATCAGACCCCAATTAGTAAACAAAAACCTATTGGCCTCATCAATCCTATGAATACGGAACCTATACAGCTTGATTTTTACAGCCTCTTTAATTCTATATACAACTGTGTCAACTGAACAAGCATGTCCCCTAAAACATCTATGGTTACGCTCCTTCCAAATGAAGTATAAGAAACCCGTCCAAGCCAGCTTGAGGATCTGCACTCTGAGGGATTTGCCTTTCAGGTTAGCAACCAACCAACTGAGGCAGTCATCCCAGTTTTGCACATCATGACAAACCCCACATGAGGCTAAGATAGTCCTCCAGACTTCCTTAGCAAAGAAGCAAGCAATAAAGAGATGATCATGAGATTCAGGGTCCGAACCACACAAAACACAGACAATATCCGTAACCAAGACAAATATGCCCAACCTAACCTTAGTAGGTAGCCTATTGAGAAGAACCATCCACGAGATAAGGGAAAACTTGGGGACATGTCCAGGGAACCAAACAATTTTGTGCCAATTAACCTTCTCCCCGCGAACTCTGATGTTGTCCCAAATCCAGCTACTTGTAATGTTGCACCAGGGAGTACCAGGAGAAAACAGTCTCCTTGCCTCATCTCTTAGCCCCAGCAGCTTCCTCACAATCCAGCTGAAGTGGCTTTTACAGTAAACATCCCAGAAATTAACATTTTTAAAACAATACTCACCCAACCATACAATCCAAAGAGAGCCATTGTTAGCCAGAATATTCTTAATAAGCAGCAAGCAACAAGTTTTATTCTAAACGGTTAGGTCTCTGAGTCCCAAACCACCCTCTGATTTCAGAGAACATATCTTACTCCACCCCACATGCGCTCCTCTAGCAGGGGAGTCACAGCCTTTCCAGAAAAAGCGCATGCAGATTCTCTCAATATCCTGAATAATCCCCTTAGGAAGAACGAGCTGTCTACTCCAATAGTTAAAGATACTAAAGAGGACATACTTAATAAGTTGCAGTCTTCCACCATAGCTAAGCATCTTAGAGGACCATTGACTAAGCTTCCCTTTGATTCTCTCCAAAAGAGCAACACAATCCTTACTCGTGAGCTTACGAGTGACCAAGGGAACCTCAAGATATCTAACTGGAAGATGCGCCACCTTAAATCCAGTGACTGAGTGAATCTGATTAAGAGCACTATCATTCAAGCCACAAGCATAAAGCTCGGTCTTCATTGCATTCAACTTAAGACCAGATAAAACATAAAATTCCTCCAAAATGCTCAGAACACCCAAAACAGAATCAATGGAGCCATGACAGAAGACTAGCAAGTCATCCGCGAAGCAAAGATGGGTAAGTGAGAGTCTCTTACATTTTGGATGGAATCTGAAGATTCTTTGTTTGGCAGCAGCGTTCAAGAGCGAGGAAAGAATGTTCATCACAATAACAAAAAGATAAGGGGATAAAGGGTCCCCTTGTCTAATTCCCCTTGCTCCCTTAAAAACACCCACCAAGCTACCATTTAAACAAACCGAGAACATAGGGGTAGTAATACAGACTTTGATCCAATTACAAAACACAGAGGGTAGCCCCATGGCCTCAAGAACAAAAAGCAAGAAAGACCAATTAACAGAGTCGAAAGCCTTCTGCAAATCAATCTTGATTGCACATCTAGGAGAAAGACTCCTCCTAGAGTAGCCTTTCACAATCTCTTGAGCTAAAAGGGTATTATCAACAATGTTCATTCCTTTGACAAAGGCTGACTGGTTATGAGAAATCATACCAGGGAAATAAGGAGTGAGCCTATTAACAAGAACTCTAGTGATAGTTTTGTAGACCACTGAACAGCACGAAATAGGTCTAAATTCCTTGGCCAAACATGCATTTAAGGATTTAGGGACCAGAACTAAGGCAGTAGCATTAAAAGCAGGCAATAAATATGATGTTTGGAAGAAATACCTTACAGCAGCAATGAAATCACTGCCTACAATGTCCCAATCAGCTTTGAAGAAGCCAGAGGTGAACCCATCAGGGCCTGGACTCTTGTCTTTCCCTTGCCTAAACAGGGCCTCTTTGATCTCATCATCACTCACCTCCCTAATAAGGCAAGTAGCAGCATCCACAGGGAGAGAAAAGTTCAGCAGATGTTTTAAGTTATCAACAGAACAACCTTTAACTAATGGGTCAGGAGTGCCTATGAGATTAGTGAAATAATCCACTAACACAGCGGCCACTCCCTCAAAAGAGTCATAGCTCTGCCCAGCCTCGTCTTTAATAATTCTGATCGTATTATTTTTCTTGTTTGATTGGACTCTCTGGTGAAAGAACTTAGTGTTCAAATCACCATCCTTCAGCCAATGTACTTTGGCCTTCTGTCTGAAAAAATCAGATTCAACAATCTCCAAGTCAACTAACTCAGCATGGATTTTTCTTTCTTCCTCAAAGCTACCCTGATTCATATGGGTTAGATTATGAATCTGCATACGCTCCAAATCACCCCTCTTGGCTCTGACCCTACCAGAAATATCAGAGAAATATTCCAGATTGAACTCCTTGAGAAGAGGTTTGAGTCTTCTCATCTTGTTGAATAAACAACTCATAGCAGGCCCATTACAGTGATTCTGCCAAGAAGCCCTGACCATATTTAAAAACTGATCATGCCCAATCCAGCAATTAAAAAACTTGAAATGACGAGATTTCCTGGCTAAGGCTCCCTTATGGGTCTATAGAATTCCAAGGCAATGATCGGAAACACCCTGGGCCTTGAACTCCACAAAAGATTCAGGAAAATCTAGAAGCCATTTAACCAAAATTCTATCCAGTTTACGGGCTAAGAAGGTATTCTCTTGTTTGTTTGACCAAGTGAATATAGGCCCAAGAAAAGGATGGTCAATAAGGTCAAGCTCCTCTAAACAATCTTGGAACTCCTTCATATCAGGAGTACAATGGATTCCCATGACTTCAAAATCCGAGCTCTCCTCAGCTTTAGAAATAATGTTGAAATCACCCCCAACCAGCCAAGAAGAAGAACCAATAACATTACCAACACTATGTAAATGATCCCAGAGAGCCCTTCTTGAAGCACCATAGTTGCTACCATAAACAGCAGTAATAGCTGTGTTATAGCCATCAACAGTCTCAATAATGGAAATAGCTTGGCCACAACATCTCAGAGTAGAGAAAGACCAAAGTTTTCTCCAAAAGACCCACAATCTGCCCCCCTCAGCATAGTTATAGTTCTCCACAAAATTCCAATCACTAGACAGAGCAGCAATGAAACTAGCAGAATTAGAACTCCTAATACGCGATTCCATCAAACAAAAAATATCAACACTATAAGATTTTAACCTCCTTAACACCTTCAACTGCTTAAGAGGGTTGTTGATCCCCCTTACATTCCAGAAACTAACAATCATTAAGCTGGAATTTGCTGGGCACAGTTGCCAATGCCCAAATTAACCACTGAACTCTTGGCCTTCTCAAGATGATCCTTCTTCTTAGATTTAATTTCATTGAGAAGAGCAGCCACACCCATAGAGGCAACACGAGCTTCACGAACTTTCCTAGGAGCATCAACCACAACCTCCATTTTACTTGAGGAGCCAAAATTTTCTTTCTTTCTGCCCTTTACCTTTTTCTTGAGAGAGTCCTGGAGAGAAGGGAACTCCCCAGAATGGACAGCTCCCAGCAGGTGTTGATTAGCACCTAAAGCACCAGTATCTACACTGTCATTCTCCCTAATAGCCTCCAAATTAGGCTCACAAACCTCTTGCAATGCCAGAACTGAAGTTTCCATAACTTTTCCAACCCGTAGTTCCGTATTGATCTGCAATTCCTCAGAATTATTAGCACTACCAGGAGGAGAAACTGAGTTAGACATCTTAGATGTATTAGCAACCTCAGAAGTCCCCGAAGTAACAGCAGGAATTACAGTCAAAATATCATTACAGACAAAATCAACGGTATTACTGTCTTTCCTCCTCCAAACTTGCAGCTCTTTAGGCTTCTGAGGAGGTTGCCTAGCCTCAGTACAAGAGCTAGCAAGATGACCAAAAGATTTACATAAAGCGCAACATCTAGGGAACCAAGGCACAAGAACTCTAACATTCACATAAGATCCATTCTTTAAGAGAACTTGAATAAACTCAGGAATAATAGCTCCAGCTTCAATCTCAACACAAATCTTAGCAAACTCGAGCCTCTGTCTTGAAGCCGTTATAGAATCCATGAATAAGGGCTTGCCTAGAGCATTAGCAATGTAACTAAGCCCCTTCTGTGAGTAAAGCTCTAAAGGAACGTTATAGAGCTGTACCCAAATCGGGAGGAGTGAAAGATCGAAGGAAAGCTTCTTCATACCAGGAGTCCAATCCCTCAAAATTAACGGTTTGTTCTGTATATGCCAGGGTCCATTTTCCAGAACCCACTCCCTTAAACCGACATCCAAGAACGAAAACACGAAGAGATTAGGGCCTGCGAGACTAACCTTAACTTGCGACGGTTTCCCCTAAATAACTTCGATAATACACTGCATAGATCCAAAGCTCGGGGAAGAACCAATAAACTGCCCTACCAAAGCGTGGCTCCAATCCGTAATTCCTTCATCGATCACCTCAGACGGGGGGTTAACAGTGACCACACCATCCCGCAGCTCAGGAGGAAAGAAATCCAGTGACTGATCCTTCGAGCCCCAAACAAATTCTTCCAATCTAGGTTAATGGAGTCCGATTCCATACGATAACCCAGCAAAAACAGACCAGAAAGCCACCACAAAGCAAGAAACAAAGCAAGAATTAGAAGAAAAGAGGAGAAACTGAGATTCCATCATACCTGCTAACGAACGCCCAGAAAGTCCCCATTCTTTAAACAAAATTTCAATATAAAGTAAAATTTTAGTAGGAGCCAATCTGGAAAAACTGAAGAAATTAAAGGGGCATTCGTGTAAAATAGAAGGGGGGAACTTTTAACAGCACCGCATTTCGCACCATTTATATACACCCTCCGGAGACGCCGTCGTTTGTAACGCCGGCGTTCCCGCCGATTGGTCCGAACATTTTCAAACAAAAGCTTCTAAAAACCATGGAGCGAGGCTTCATCTTTTCTGTAATAGTTGTCTCGTCCATCGTTTTTATTTACTATTCCACGGTCTTCATTTTCATTGATCGCTGGCTTGGTCTAATGACCTATCCTGTTATAATGAACGCCGTTGCTTTTACCGTTGTTGCCTTCATGTGTGTGTTGAATTACACCTTTTCCATCTTCGCGGATCCGAGTCGGGTTCCATCTTCTTTCATGCCCGACATTGAAGATCCCGAAGTTCCTATCCACGAGATCAAACGCAATGTACGCTAAAAATCAGACAAAAGGCTTGATTTTGTCTGCTGAGGTTGCTCATGTTTCCTGTCTGAATTACCACAAAAGATTGATTTTGTTATTTTGGTTATAGTTTGGATAAGTTTTACGTTTTGAATAAAAAAACACTAATTTCTCCAATTTGGGTTTGTTAGAAATGAAGAGATTAATTTTGGTGTTTTTGGCATTTTCAAGGTTATTGCATGTAAATTAGCCATTTTTTGGCGTTGGAGCAGATTAGCGAATTTTGCATGTGGTGAAAAAAAAAAGAATCTTTGGTGGTCTGATCATGCTTAGATTTGGTGAAAGTTTTGGAATTTTGGAAAATTGTGATGTGTATTTACCCAAATGGAGGAATGTATTCTTCATATTGTGTCAAAAGCAGCCAAATAAGGAGATGAGCAAAATGCATTGTCGAAATACATTCTAATCTGTGATGAATAGATGGCCTATACAGAAATTTGAGTCAAAACAATTGGTCCGTTAGTGTGTGAAAGAAAGCATTTTAAAACTAAGCCTTTTAGCTGCCCTGTAGTCAGGGCTTTGATTGATACTCTGCATGGTAGAAAGCCCTCATTGCAGCAACGTATAGAGAATGCCGCTACGCCATGTTTGTACGTTCAGTCTTAGTCATGTTGAATTCTGTTATGTATTATTTCATTAATTATACCAGAGACTGTTATTTTGGCACTGCATCATTTGTGTTATGGTGAGGCTCCAGCAGTCATTGATTTCTATCTGAACTACCAGTACTTTTATTGCTACGATCCAGAGAATATTTGTTGTCTTCCGTCAGATTATAATTGTCAAATGGATAACTTAAAAGCATACATTGACGTGATTGTGCGTCTTGTTTGATCTCACATATTAATATTGACTTGACTTGGAACCAGAACAATCGAAAAAAGTTGGGTTTCCCTGTTTGCTTGAATCTTGTTTTCTTTTCAAAGATTGATTGTGATTTTTATGCTTGTTAAGGATTTGTGCGAAACTTGTAAGTCAAAATAATCACAATGCGACAAAATTCACATGTAAGTGGCGTTAAATCCTCGTAAGTTGGATTGACTCTTGTAGAGAATATGCTTCCAGCATTGTAATATCAAGAATAAACGTGGTCAATGAAATTTTATTGCATTTGGGAAGTTAATAGACCTGTGTTTTAATTGCGTGGCTTTATTTGTTTCATCTATTTCTAGATCATAACCTTTGTTCAGAATGTTTTGTAGGGAGGAAATTTGAGATTTTGCCAAAAGTGTTCTTGTTTTAAGCCTCCTCGTGCACATCATTGTCGTGTTTGCAAAAGATGCATTCTGAGAATGGTACGTGCAATCTATTCTAATATTTGTGCATATGTCAAATGTCCTCAATAATAATGCGCTAAAAGATCTCTTCTTGGTTACAAGGATCACCATTGCATTTGGATAAATAATTGTGTTGGCCGTGCCAACTACAAGGTTTTCTTCGTCTTCATTGTATATGCCGTGATTGCTTGCATCTATTCTCTGGTATGTCATGCCAAAATAACATTTATTTCTCCTTTGGTCTTGAAATTGTCATTTTCTGATTTATGGAAGCTCTTTCTTATGCTTTTAATACATACTTATCGCCTTGCACCAAGTACCGCTTCTTACTTTGGATTGATTTATGTCATGGTCCTTTTCTCATTTATATCTTCTCTTCTCATAAATGTCAGGTTTTACTTGTGGGGAGCTTAACTAACGATTCCCATAACGATAAGCAGCAAAGTGTAGACTCCTTCAGAATCACGTATGTAACGTTGATGATTACCTACCTTTTAGAGCTAGAGTTTACCATATCTATGATATGCCTATAACTTTCCATTTTCAGGTTATTTCTGGACTGTTGCTAGTCCCCCTAAATGTAGCTTTAAGTGTTCTCCTGGGCTAGCATATCTACCTTATTTTGCAAAATAAGATCACAATCGAGCTAATTAGGCTTATTTTACATTGTATTATGCTTATCCACTTTACTTTTGCATTTAGGACAATCCTTTTACTTATTTCCTAGAATTTTATTTTTAAATTGGCAATATCATGAAGGGGAGAGAGCTATGTGGCTTGCAGAGAAAGGAGAGAATGTCTATAAGCATCCATATGATCTTGGTGCCTTTGAAAATCTAACCACGGTAATAACCAGTAATGAATCTTCTCCTCTCCGTTTTACATGCTGATGGACGTAAGATGTTGCATTGATGGATTTTAGAAGACAGAGCAATTAGGACTTTTGACTTGATGAATTCTAAGAAACCATGACTTCTTTACTGTTAGCTTAGATTATAGCTTCTGGGTGTTTGAAATATCCTCCATCTTATTTTATTGTAAGAAGTCTCTATATGCCAATCATTAACCTGCCTATTATGCTGATCTGATTATCTACGAGGTCGGTTGAGGCAGACCAACACTAGATTGAACGTAATTAACTTGGTTCAGTTTTTGCCTTGTTTCATTCTCATTTATATTTATAGAAGGTTGGAACATCGTTATAGCTCATATTTCATCTGTTGCCATCTTTTTGTTTTAGGTATTGGGCCCAAGTATCCTATGCTGGATGTGCCCCTTATCAAGACACATGGGTAATGGTCTTCGATTTCGAACAGCTTATGATAAAAATATCTGCTTCATCAACATTAAAATGAAGTTTCAATTTCATTTTTTTCTACATTGACTTGGCAATAACGAGTTTTTCGATGCTTGAGGGATCGATAAATTCTTACCTTGTGATCACATCTGGTTGTTCTCTTTTGAGTTATCCTAGAACGTATGCTGTCACCTTCTGAAACTCCATGGAAAAGAAAAGAAAAAGGAAGTAGGAAAAGGCCATCACTTTTTGGCTCAAGTAAGTCTTGAAACCATTGCTATGAGCGATAATCATCGAGGATGTGAAAAGGTACCTTGTAAGTTGCCAATTAACCAAGCAAAGCAGTCAAATTAGCAATAGGATTGGTGGGGTGTTACTTTTTTCCCCCTCTTAACTCTTACCCCTTTTTGAGCATATGGTGTGTAGGTGGTTTACTGGTAGGTTTTTTAATTTGACACCTTGTCCATAAAGAGGGCATCATTGTGCAAAATCAAGACAACAAAATGTATCAATCATGTAAAAGAAACTGTAACATCCTTTTTAACTCTAAAACACAACTAAAAGTTTCTGTGAGGTGCTTGGCTTTTTCCGTTTAACTCAATACGAACACTCTTCTTCTTCCTCTTTTATCTCTTTATTTCATCCCCAGCTCTCAGTACCCATATAACTCTATAGAGGGCAAAGAGGTTTAGTTGTCTAATGTCTTTATCTCATAATTAGCTATGCTACTTGGAACTGATTAGCCATATTGTTTGAACTTGAGTGTTTGTGGAGGAAGTTATTACTATTGGAGGTTGTATCTTCATATATGTGTCTCATAGTTACAGGAAATAGGTGTTTTGATAAAAATGAAGCTAATCATGTGATTGATTTTTTGTTTTTTGATTTGTTTAATCATTATAAATATGAGGGCCAAGATTTGAATTGTGGTAGAAGGGAGTTGTTGTCCCGGGTTCGAATAATTGTGTTTGTAGGGTATGTATTATCAATGACTAAGAAAAATTATGAATAGTTGTAATTATTTTATACTATTCAAAATAAATAAAAAACAAAAAAAAACTGTGGTCATCAGTGTAACTCACAATGTCTCGGGAATGTATATAAATTAAAATTTTGTATGTTGATAGTTGTGATAAAACTTGACCCAATCAAGCAATTCTTTCAAAATTTACCACATCGGTTGAAATTAGTTTTTTATTTGAATTTTTTTCTTAAAAATTATGTACGTTTTTTACAATTTTATATGTGATTGCTTTTGGATTATGTACAAATAGATATCCTTATTCTTTTTATGAAAAGAATATTGACAAAAAATTGAAAACAAATAGTTTGAGGTTTGTTTAAAATTAAAGTAAAATAATATTAAAAAATGGGTTATGAATGGGTAAGGTTAAAGCACCATATGATGTTCAAAAGTAATATTCTTTTCGAAATTATATGTTGTCTTAATTTTTAAAAAATATAAATTTGAATTTGAATTTAAGATATCTTGGATGGATGTAATTTGAAAAATAAAGCGAATTTAATTGATATAAAAAATTGTATTATTTTATTATAATATTTCAAAAGTTTGCAATCTAATTACTTTAAATAATATAACAAGATGATAATATTTTTTGAAAAAGAACTTTTTCTGTGATGCATGTCTTTTGGAAATAAATGAAATACAAAAAAAATGTTAATAAAAGTAATAATAATAATGATTAATAATGAACAATTAACATCCTAGACTAAATTTAAAGAAACTGAAAACTAAAATGATAATTAGCAAAAAAATAATGCAAAATTGGACTTAATTGAAATACAAACAAGAGCGAAAGGACCAAATGTACAGTTCACCCAGAAGATGTAAAAACGTGCAACTATATTATCCTTTAAAATTTAAATATCAAACAATCTAATTATATCT